GAACCCGTGCTGGTTTCCCCTCAGCATAATTTGTCCTGCCGGGCTCTCGCAAATGTGAGCCTTGATAATTTTTTCAAAGACTTTGCCAAGGATGGAGGTGAGACTGACTGGCCTATAGTTGCCAAGGTCCTCCTTCCTCCCCTTCTTGAAAATGGGGACCACATTGGCCCTTTTCCAGTCCTCCGGGACTTGGCCCACGCGCCACGAGCATTCGAATACTCCTGCCAGTGGCTCTGCAATGATGTCGGCCAGTGCCTTCAGCACCCTCGGATGGAGCTCATCCGGGCCTGCCGACTTAAAGGCATCCAGTTCCTCCAAGTGACTCTGCACCATCTCAGGGTCTACGCATGGCAGTCTGGCGCCTTGCTGCTGCCTCTCTACAATCCCAGTGAGAGACTTGTCGCGCCCCTCGCTTAGGAACACTGAGGCAAAGAACTCGTTGAGGAGTTCAGCCTTGTCCCCCCTGTCTGTCACCAATTGCGTATACATGACCCCACTGATTTGTAAATAAAATGAACACTAAGAAGATCTTTTCATGGACAGTGAGTATGGGTTCATGCAGGTGTGTGGCAGATTTTGTTAAAAAAAAATCAAACTGTTTCAAACTTTCTTTTACAATATTTGCAATTCTGTGGGTGCATCTACATGTGCAATTAATGTGAATGAACAGAATCTGTGCATCCTCTGCCTACCTGGTGGATTAGTAAACTAATCCCAATGTCACCGTCTACACATCCCTTTAAGCACAGTTATTTACTGCGCTGCTGGATACCACTTGTATCTGATGGGACTATCTGGCAGCATGGTAAATTAGTCTACTGTGCTCTAATTACTTCCCACGCATAGATGGTGACACTTTACTGCAGGGTAGGGAGGGGAGAAGAGGGCCCTTCTCCCAGTGTGGGGCTTACTGGGTGGGTGCGACAGGCATGCCTGGCAGCGTGATTCTATTCCCACTGGCAGCGATGATGTGCAGCTCCCAGTTGCATCATGGGGTACAGGTGCCCAGTGTTTGGCTAGCCAGCCAGGGAGGAGCTGGAGCTTCTCAGGGTAGGTGGTGCCAACCCTAGGCTGGCCTCCTGGGTGGGGCTGCACACCCAGAGCTGGCACGCAGGCACTGGTCTGGGCTGCTGGATGATGCTGGAGGCAACGACCATGGCAAGACATGCTACTGATGCCCTGACAAACTGTCCCCTGTTGACATTTTGTTGCTGCTGTCAGGCCACGGCAGAGGCTCCAGCAGGCTGCCCATGCTGGAAAACATGGCATGGCTCTGCCCAGGGTCCCAGGGCACAAGGATGTGATCCTGCTGCTGCATAAAGGGCATGGTCCCATGGGCAGCTCCCAACCAGTAGCTGTGGCCAGTGACATGGAGCCACTGTGCCCACAGGGTCTTGACCTTTAGGTGGCATTGGCACACTAACCAGTTGTGCCCACATTCCCACATGTGGCACACCAGGCCCTCGACATTGGAGGGCATTGGAGCACCCACCCCGGGAAAACTGGCTCTGGACCTCAGCCTTGCCTCACAGGGCAATGAGGTCCATGCTCTTGTCCTGGGACTAGTTAGGCCCTCAGGACATGGTGTGTGGCACTGCGGACAATGCCAGTGTGGTCTCCTCAGTAGCCCTCAGGGGCTGCAGGTGAGAGTCCAGGTCTGCATGGCCTGGGTAGGTGCCTGCCACAGGCGACATGTAGGGGCCCATGTCGGGGGGGCATGCTCCCCCCCACTCCCCGAGATTCTCTGAGAAGCCACTGCTGGCTTCTGTGGGAAGTTGTCACTCGCCACCCACCCTTGCTGCCGATGCCACCGCTTGCCCCCTCCCAAGCCCCCTCCCCCCCGCGCCACTCATGGTGCCTGCAGCACACAGCGCAGGTGCATTATGCAGGACAGGCAAGCAGGAGGTGGGGCTGGTCCAGGGGCCAGTGCCAGGGGTCTAGGCAGGCTGCAGCAGCTGGCTGAGGGCCAGCGCTAGCACAGAACCAGGAGTCACCACAGTATTTTAAAAGCCAGGCTGGGGCAGGCGAAGAGCTGTCCCTGCCCTGGGGCTGAAGCAGCTTTGAGCTCCATGGCTCTGGAGCTAGCCTGACAGTGGGCCCCTGGTGGAGGGAATGACCAGCAGCAAATTTGCTCCTGGTCAGTGCCTACATGTGCAATATTGCACAGTAACTACAGCGCAGCTAATTTGCTACCTACAAATGCAGGGAGCAAATTAAATGCACAGTAGACTTACTGACTGTGCAGCAAGTTCCTGCATGTGTAGACAGTGACACTTTACCATTCAATCATTTAGTCTACTGCGTGTTAAAACATCTTGTGTAGACATTCCCCTTTAGGCTTTTGCACTAGAAGCACATGTAGCACAAGGGGCCAATTAGTAATAACATCACATGAGCAAATCTTTGCAGGACTGAGGCCTTAGTGACTTAGAAGTCACCAGTGTGTAATTATTTACCTTATCATGATCTTGATTATCTCAAGATTGATAAGAAAAATTCTTAAACCCATTACTACAGTGAAATAGTATGGTGACACTGTTCTAAGTATTTATGTTGACTGTTACAGTTTTGCCTAACTTTACATCTTCAAAACTTGCCATATTAAGATTTGTGAAATGCCTGGAGGACCAGTATGTAAATCAAACCTTGATACTTTGACTTCTGACTTACAGGAAGGAATCACAAATTTCAAGAAAGAATTTGAGGAAAAGATCAGTATGGCTACAAAGTAAATGTTTTAGAGTCACCCCTTCTGCAGACACAGCCCTACTTAAAATGTCCTGCACATGTTGTCCTAACTCCAGACATTATTGTTAGTCAGGTCCTCAAAGAGCTTACCAAGATTTTCTGTAAACAGAAAGTGAGGACTTGGGGACAGATTCACAGTTGGTATAAACAGCCATTGTTACATTGACTTAAATAAAACAGAATCTTCCTCACTAAAGTATGCTAAAAAGGTCAGTATGCCAACACTTCTTAGCAAGTCAGGAAAAAGAAGAGACAGAGATTTAAAAGTCCAAGGCCATCTTTGTTTTGAACTTCTTCATCACTAACTTTTAATCTGGTCTGATTAACAACCAAAAATCCTTGATTAGCAACTTCCTGGATTAGAATAGGTCTCTGCCATATTCCTTAGCAGAACTTTGAAACTCTTGAAACAAAGACAGTCCCTGAAAAATTAATTACAGGATTTCATGTGGAACTGGAGTTGGTTAAATAGCATTATTTATTGCATACTGCAGTCACTAGTTAAATAATTAATTTAATGAATGTCAGTATATTCTAAATGAAAAATTATTTTGAATCCTCTGACAGAGCTACGCTGAATGTTGCAGGACAGAACAAGAATATATCAGAAATTTTAAGCATACTCCAATCTACCTGCCCCACCCTCCAGAGTAGGCTGGGTAAACCCCAGAGGGAACTCCCTCCCCTCCCTTCTCCCCTTCCCATTCTGAAGACAGCACTGGGGGTGGGCCAGGGGTGCATGAGCCCAGCCCTACTCTGGGTGCACACTGACAGAAGTTAATGAAGGCACTCCGCTTTGGAGCTCCTTCACCTGAACCCTCATGTAAGGAGGGTTCAGATTGTCATGCAATCAGGCACTTTTGAAGCACTCTGCAGCCATGCACTTCTGTCACTTCAGGGGGCTGATTGCACAACAAAACATCACTTTTGTCAGTGCTGCAAGAGAACCTTTTCATCTGGATGTGCAACATCTGAGGAGCTGAGTAAAATCAACTAGCAAAAGATTAGGTCCTTCAGAGTAAGGGAACACCCACAAGCATTTCTAGGTTCTGGCAGCTGACCTGGAAGAAAGGCAGGCAGGAACTCTGCATTCTTTTCAGTCTTTTTCCTTTTTTTATTCTTCTTAGGCCAGTTGTGTATTTGTGGTCGAGCAGGTCAGGGGTGATAGATCTACTATACATCCTGGGGACAATGGTGAGGCTAGGTAAGAAAAAAGACAAATTCAAGAAGCAAAGAAAGTAGAAGAAAGAGAACAATAAAAAGGCAAGGATAAAATACTAAAGTAAAGGCAGTGTGATTAAATTGGTGTTAACATAGGCCCAGATTTGGAAAACTTAACTCTGATGGGGAGCACTTTACTCCATAAATAGTTACACTTAATAGAGTAGCATTATTTGGGCAGTAAACTACTATAAGTAGAAGTGTCAGAATCTACCAATTAGAGATATAGTGATGGGTCTTTTAAAAAAAACCCTGTATTTTAATATACAGCTTTAAAAACATGGAAACAGAGTGCTGGAAAGATTATATACAAGAATGTGTTAATATGAAAGAGGCAAAGGTCTAACCTGCGCTGCTCTCCAATTAGTAGCTTGCCAAGACTTTCCAAAAGCCAAACTATTTTCTTGTGATTGTACTAAGGAAGCCATCTGAAAGACAGATTTTTTCCCCCTTCAGGGTATATATTTCAGCAACTGAAATGTTATTTTAGCTCATACATCTGTTCAATAACCAGATTAAAATTACTATGAAACAAAGTTAAACCCATAACAAAAACAAAAACCTGATAGTCAGACTTTTATTTTGGCACAAGAAATAAAGGTTATTTTTCTTCCTCTGGTATATTACTTGTCTAAATAACGTCAGGAACGACATTAAAAGAACTTCCACGGTAGAGAGAAGGAGCTATTACTATGTTCCAAAGTAAAAGGTTGAAAGATGAATGCCTTTTAATATAAAAGTTTCCTAGCAACCTGTGTTCCTTAGCTAGAATTTATTACAAAAATGGTGATGCTCTCAGAATTGCATCTGTAATCCAGTGTTTAAACCAGTCACCACACTATATTGTTCTTTATTTGCCTTCACATCCCAATCTCCTTTTCCCAGGCTCAGCTTTGCACTTTCTCCCATTTCAGTCTTGTACATGAAACCATTTGTGTGGTCTTATCTACCAGATCTCTCTTCCATCTTTCTTCAAATCACTTTTTCTCATTAATAATCCTTCCTCCTGAACTGTGGTTCTTGAGGTGTCTTATATGGACTGTAACCTCTTAAGGGTATGGCACTCTTATCTGCGTCTATAAAGCAATGTAAATGAGCAATACTATCCTAGTAAAGCAGCAGTCTACAAATCTGCACCATCAACTTGTCCAATATGCTTTGTGCACAACAGCAGGTGCACGCTGGGGTGTCTTATGCAATAGGAACACAATCTTAGACTCAGAGGAATAAAAGCAGCAAAAGCTTTGTGAAGCCAGTTTCCTTGTGGCCTCAGGGTAAAACTGAAGCAAACACAGAAGAAACTAGCAGAATTTCTTGAAGCACAAAATGATTATTACATGAAGCATCGGAAGAATTGGTTGTTTTATCCAGGACATCCCAAAGGACAAACAAACAGAAAACAGAAGCAATAGCCAAACACCCAGCTTCTCACCTCTGCACACAGCGATGGGAAACAAACTTGCTCTGCACCATTTTGCATTACAACAACATGAAACCAGATCCACACAAATTGTTCCTCAACTCTTTCGAAAGAGGAGAGGAATTGACAAAGCTATTTAGGTCATCCATAAACTATTTTCAGAGCACTGACCACATTAGTAGACAGTGTCTTGCAGACAACCTGCTCTGATAGTCGTGAGCATAGACTAGTTTCCTCTCCCAAGATGATCCATACCAGCCTGTAATGAGGAAGGGAAGAGGGGCTCTGTCCTTTTTTTAAGGAACACTTCCACGCCCCTTCCATGGTTCTCTAAAGTTCCAGTGGTCTGAAGTACCTGATGGTCTCAGGAAGGGCAGATACTTATTGGTGGAAAGTGCTCCTGGCAAATTCATTTGTATTTGGGGAAAACTGTTACAGGGCCAAGTCTCATAGTGCAAAGTGGGGGAAGGCTAACAAGGGAGAATGTTACTGTAGTAAAGCTAACATATATTTGACTTCCACACGTCTAATAGGGGCCACACAAGCAAGAAAAATACCAGATCTGTTTAGTGCTCCCACCTGGAAAAGTGCCAGCTGGAAGAAGCTGGTTCAAGGCTGCAAGTGGTCTGACTTAATTAGCACAGCCCCAGAAGGAGGGCTGCTAGACTCCTGGGCCTAGGAAAAAGCAGCAGTCTGCCTGGCTTATACACATAGTGCCCTTCTGAATTTGGGAAAAGAGGTCAGCCAGAATTAGCAGTCAGGCCCCAGAAGCAGTGTTGAGTTTGAGGGCCCCGGAAGAGTTTAATAATCTGGATTTAAAAAGGTTAAAAAACAAGCTACACAAAGGGAAGCGATCTTGTTCCCCAGTCTGGGAACACATTATGGCAGGATCCTAGAAGGAACTGGGGCTGTGGACCTGCAGGGCTATGTTTTACCACAAGGGGGAAGTGCTTTGGGCTGGTGTCATCTTACAGCTCTTGTCCAACTCTTGGAACTGCTCATAATCAGGGATCCTGAGTTCTCTGTTAAAAAATCCTACATTTTCTGATTAAAACCCCCCAAATCCACATTTTTCCATTATTAAAACGAAATGCCTCTTGATATATAGGTATCAGTGAACACAATGTTTTATTGATATATTTACAATGTTAAGCAATTCAGAAGCCTCAATCATTATAATAAAATAAATTCTAAATGTCTCTATATTTTGGCATTTGATTTTTTTTTTTATATCATGGAAAATCAAAGCTCCCCTTGCCCCCTTTGCTTACCAGGACATGGATCCAGCTGCACCTGTCCACCCCCTGCACTGCTTTGCGGTGCTGAGCTGCCCTGGCATGCCAGTGCCCTGCCCATGCCATTGTCCCTCACTCCCAAGTCTCACCCCCCCAAGCCCTAACAGTGCCCCTCACTCCATGAACAGCGCATGCCCCTGGTGGCTGGGGGGGCACGGCTGTGCTACTGCTGGCAGGAGTTCAGTGGCAGCGGGAGCCTGGCGGTGGTGAGCAGGGAGCTTCTGCAGACGCCACCAGCACTGGTGGTGGTGGCAGCAGAGGGGGGCAAGGTGAGAACTGATCATGGGTTGGCGGCCACCTGCAGGCATTGCTGGCAGTGTTGGTGGCACCCAGGGGCAATCACGGACCACCCACAGATGCCACCATCAGCGGCGCCTTTTTGCAGAGGGTGCGCCGCCACACTCAGGGGCTGCGCATGCACCTGCATGCACCATCTATGTGCTGCCCCTGCCTCACTCCCACCCTGCAGCCCCTGTCCACCCCCCACCACTCACTCTCTTCTAGCAGTTTCTGCCCCCAACGTGGGTGTGTGGGGAAGGGTGTGTGTGTGGGGGGCAGGGGCTGAGTGGGGCAGGGAGTGGGTGTGTGGGGCAGGGGTACATGGATATAGGCAATGCCATTGATGATGCACTGGGTGGGCACAAGGGGGCATGTACCCTCCTAGATTTCTGCGTCAACAGCAGGGCACAGGGCATGGGGCTGCAGCCTAGCAGACTGGCACTGGGCAGGAACCACCTCCATGGCCCTGTGCATGGGACCCTGTGCAGGAGGGTGGAGCAGGGCAGGGAGACTTGGTGCTGCCACGGTCACCGCCAGGAGCCCCACACCAGTTGCACCACCATGGCTGCCAAGGTGAGGTGCCCCCACCCACTGCCACAGTGGGGAAGAGGGGGCATAACTTTGTGCTGCTGCCATCACTGCTGCCCCTGCTACTGTTGGGTGGGCAGGGGGTGCCTCACCTTGGCAGCCATGGCAGCATGGCTGGCACAGGGTTCCTGGTAGTGGTGATGGCAGAACTGAGTCTCCCCATGTTGCTCCACCCTCTCATGCCAGGTTCCACCCATTGGGCTGCAGAGGTGGCTTTTGCCCACTGCTGGACCAGCCAGGCTGCAACCCTGTGCCCTGCACCCCGCTGTCACTGCAGAAATCTGAGGGGGCACATGACTCCCCAGACCCCTCCAACACATCACTAGTGGGCATGCCCAGACCATGCCCAGATGGTCCTCAGGGCCTGGCCCTCCAACTCCCCATCTGCCCCATAGACTTACCTATATCCAGCTGCTGGGGCTGCTCCCACCACCCTGACTGGCTGTATTGCTGGCCATATGTGTGTGCCTATGTACATGCATATAGCACCTCCTGCCTCTGACTGCCCCCCCGCTGCTCCTCCCAGCCCCAAGCAACTTGCTGCAGGCTGGAACTCTGACAACCTGCAAGGGGAAACTTTTCATTTCCTGCTTGAAAGGGGAAAATCCAAGTTGTTCTCTTTTAAAGGGGAAAATGTAGATCCAGCTCCAGAGCAAGACACACTGGCAGAAACCCATCACATCCCCGTTGAGCCCAGGACCCCCAGAAGACACCTGGTGCACCTCGACCTAAACCCCCAGTGCAGCTGGGAGGTAGGTGGGCCCCACAGTGGGTGGGTGCTAGGCAGCTGCAGGAGGCAGCTGAGAGTTGCTGAGGAAGGTCATGCCCCCTCCCTCCAGCTCCTACTTGGCCCAGCCCCGCAGGGAGCCATGCAGCTGGTCCCGGCCAGCATGTAGCATAGTGAGTGACTAGGGGATGGGGTGGGGCACTGACCTTCCCCTTTCTCCACTGGAACAGAGACCCCCAGCCGCTGAGAATGGTGCAGCGCCAACGGCAGGCCCACTGCACATGTGCAGGTTTTAAAAGGACCTGCCAATGGCAGAAGCCACAGTGTAGGTCTGGCTTTGGAGTGAGATGCATGGGCGGAAGCCTGTTGTGCCCCTGTTGAGCCCAGGACCCCCAGCAGACATCCAGCAGACCTCAACCCAGACCCTCAGCACAGCTGGGAGGTAGGTGGGGCCTGTGGTGGGTGGGGCTAGGCAGCTGTGGGAGGCAGCTGAGAGGAGCAGAGGAGGGTTACGCCCCCACCTGGCTCCTACTTGACCCAGCCCCCCAGGGAGCCATGTGACCGGAGCCATACGACCAGAGCACGCAAACAGGCATGCTCTGGGCCCAGCATGACAAATTCTCTCCTACCCCAGCCCAGGTATGGGACTTTTCTAGGAGTGCTGGGAAGCCTAGGACCTCCAATGGCAGGCTTACTTGCCTGTACACAAATGCCAGGAGCCTGGGGGAAAAAACAGGAGGAACTAGCCCTCCTGCTAAATAAAAATCAACCTCATAGGAATATGACCTCATAGGAATAACGGAAACCTGGTGGGACTCCACCTATCACTGGACCACCTAGATGGCTATACCTTGTACAGGAGGGATCGTGTTGCTAGAAAGGGCAGGGGTGTAGCTCTCTATGTGAAGATGCAGTACACTTCCTACAAGTGGAGTTTGGGACTCAAGAAGAGTGACTCAAGACCATTTGGGTTAGATTACAGGGGGAATGTGGTGAAGGGAATATATTGGTAGGAGTCTACTACAGACCTCCTAACCAAGAGGAAGATCTTGACCACATATTCGCAAGGGAACTGGCAGAGACTGCATGCTTTCGGTGCATGGTAGTCATGGGTGACTTCAACTACCCTGACATCTCACGGGAGGCACACTCTGCCAAATCTGATCGGTCGTGTAGTTTTCTCACCTATATTGTTGAACTCTACTTGTCTCAAGAAGTCTACGGGCCAACAAAAGGTATGGCAGTCCTGGATCTGGTACTGGCTAACAGTGGTGATCTAGTGAGTGACCTGAGAATCAAAGGGGAGCTGGGAGACAGTGATCATAGGTTGATCACTTTCTCTATCCATCACAAAGCTGGAAAATCAGTCAGCAATGTAGAAATCCTTGATTATAGGAAAGCCAACTTTCATAAGCTCAGGAAGCTGTTTGCCAAGGCCCTGAGAAACCAGGATCTAACAAAGAGGGAAGTCCATGAGGAGTGGTTGCTCCTTAAGGATGCTATCCTTAAAGCACAAGGGAAGTCCATCCCAACCCATAGGAAAGGTAGCAAAAGGGCTGGGCGACACCCGTGGCTAAATAGGGGACTTATAGACCTCCTGTATCTAAAAAGAGAAGCCAACAAGGGTTGGAAGTCAGGTAGCATCACCAAGAAGGATTATTTAGCACTAGTCCGCACCTGTAGGGAGGAAACTAGGAAAGCTAAGGCCAAAACCAAACTCAAATTGGCTACAGGAATCAAGGACAACAACAAAAAGTCCTTCTTCAGATATGTGAAGAATGAGAAGAAAAACAAGGGAACCATTGGACCCTTGCTAAACCAAATGGGACAGCTGACAACTAACACCCAGGAAAAATCTAATCTCCTTAATGATTATTTTGCATTGGTCTTCCACCAGCTCAAGGAAGGACTCTGGAAGGGCTAGACATTTTTAAATCTGCAGGTCCAGATGCCCTCCACCCAAGGGTGTTGAGGGAGCTGGCAGGGGTCATCGCGGAGCCCTTGGCCCAGCTATATGAGAGTTTGTGGTCATCTGGCCAGGTGCCGGGGGATTGGAAACTGTCTAATGTTGTCCCAATTTTCAAGAAAAGGAGGACCCAAGTAACTATAGGCCTGTAAACCTCACCTCGGTGCTCGGGAAGATCTTGGGGAGAATCATCAAGGAGCACATCTGTGGGGGGCCTGCAGGGGAGATCATGCTCAGGGGCAACCA